GCCAGCCCTGCTCCTCGGGGATGAGCAGCGAGTACTGGGCAGCCCCGAAGTCCCCTCGGGCTAAAAAGACCTTAATTCCGCGGGCTAGGCAGTGAGGCGACTTAAAAATGGCATGAGCTAGAGATGATGGAAGTGAAAACAAGCCATCATTAAGCGATTCATTAGAAAATCTATCTGTCTCTCTGTCTCCGTCCTTGTCTGTCTGCTATCTGTCTGCTGCCTCCGCCACAATTACATATTGACTGGGCAGGGCTGTCTAGTATCTCAGGATTCATCTGCTTATTCTTCTTTCTATTATTTAGTACATTGCTTGTGAAAGAGACGGTGCTTTTGAAGAGGCGAAAAGTGACTGACCCAAAAGAGGGGACGGAAGAGATATAAAAATGATCGCCCAAATATAAACACACCAATAAACAGGGTGCGCAGCATCCTGTGAGGATCCATTTGAACTGCTCACGTCTGGATTCTTTCTGTGGCATGTGTCTGGCTTTATGTTTTAAATGGTAATCAGACCTCGGGAAGAATCCAGCGTTAACTAAAGCATTAGGAGCTGCAACCGCACAATCAATCCTCCCAGAGTGGCATTGCTCCCTAAGAGATTCTTCAGCGCAGCAGCGAGCATTTCATCTCCAGGAAATTTAAGCGCAGCCTGGCGTCGTGGCGGTGATGTTAGGCTGGAAGCAGCCCCCTTCCTCAGTAGTTTAACGCGAGAGGCACCAGGCCCCTTTACGGTTTCCAATGATCCGTGATAAACAATAACACGTCTTTTATTTCTTAAAAAAACGAGACAATCAAATAAAATGAGCAGAGCCTGAGCATAAAACACCGGGCGAGCCGCGGCTTTATTAATTTCGTGAGACACATAGGCTGCGCAGGGAGGTGAGCAGACATCGCTGCTGGAAGGCCCAACCGCGGGGAGAGAGGAGTGATAGTAAAAGCTTCATCTGGACACCGCTCCAGCCTAGGTATAATAAACATCAGGACCGTCGGGCTATTTTATAGCAGTGCGTGTGATAAGAGGGGAGCCAAACTTGGAGCTAGTACTAGCAAAGCCCGCTCCTTCCCCTTCCCGGCAGCG